TTTGGTGCCTCTGTTCAGGGGGAGCATCGGGGGGGGGGGCGCAGAGTGGGGGGGGCGGTGTGTGCCGCGGGCCCCGCAGGGCCAGGAGAGGGCCAGCGGGGTGTGGGCCAGCCAAGCGGCCCACTTTGCTTCCAGAGACCTGGCTGCCTCACTTGGGCAATACCCCGCTTTCCCAGCTGACTGGGTGCTCTCCCCTGGAAGCCAACTGGGAGCCACGAGAGCCCTGTCACTGGTAGTGGACAACCAGAAGGAGGAGATGAAGTCCCCTTGAGCCTTGCGGAACTCAGAATACAGTTGCAAACCAGCAACCGTAAGTCATAGAACGAGTGTGAAAAGACAGGATTGTGCTGGGGGAGCAATCACTAGAGAACCTGTCTCGGGACGCTGCTGTGAAAGACACAGGGATGAGCTCAGGGAACTGAATGACGCTTTCCTGTGTGTGTGTGTGTGTCTGTGCTACACACATTTACGACGGACAAAATGCCTGCTAAATAAAAACCTACAGGAAGATATTGGTTGGACCCTTACACGGTGAAGACTGCTGGGAGCACAGAGTGACAGCTGAGTCTTTTACTTGGCAGGGCCCGGCCTGGTCGTCATCGCTTCCGGTGCGCGTCTCACTAAGCCAAAGCAGAACGATGTTTCCCGAGGCGTCTGCATTCGTTTCTCCTGTGTTCGTTTCCCTGAACCCTGAACACTTGCTGTGAGTCACCCGGGAAGAGAAGGGCACTGGGCAGAGTGACTGCAGTATGGGGGAGGGCAGGGGGGCAAGGGACCTCTCCACAGACCCCACTGTCTCCTGAGAGAAGGCGTGCAGCTGCTCTGTGACTGGCCTCAGGCAAAGAGAAGTTGCCCCCCGAGGACGATGCACCTCCAAATTTGAGGCCGCACTGAACGCTAGCTGGCTCCCTGGGGGGTCCAGGCTCTTCAAAGTCGGGGACGACCTAGTGTGCTGAATTTCTGTGATGCCAAGGAGCACAATGAAAAGGACTTAAAGTTCTGGAGATTTCTGCGTCAGCACCTTGCCCCTGCAGGAGCAGCCCCTGTTCCTGAAAGGGGGTGTTTTAGCACGGGAATTAGAGAAGCCCACGCTGGAGCTGTAAACAGGTGTGGGGACCACGGCGTCGGGTTTGCTCACCTCCCCGTCAGGCCGTCCACGCCGCGAGACGTGCCTAGGTCTGAACTCTTTAAATGAAAATGGACAAAGGTGTCGAGTTGCGTTTGTTTTCTTTGACTTTATTAGCACACATCAGAAAAATAGCATTGTATTTCGTGATTTCCATGATGCTCTATCAAACAGATAGAAGATAGATCGGTAGCTGCCAATTTCTGGGTAACATCGAGTCGCTCCCCCCGTTTGTGACAGGACCCGCTTTCTTAACGGTCTATAAATCGGAGTGGTTGGGGGGCACTTTGAAGGACCTTGCAAAGTCAGTGTTGGTTGTGGCTGGGTTTTTTAATCAAGCCCCACCACTGTCCACGTTACAAACGGTGACATTGTGCCGGCACAATGATCACGCTGGCATCTGAGCAACACGCTTATCACTCACAAGCTTTATTTTTTGAGCACACTTGGTGGTTTATCCTAGGGAGAGTTTTACCAAGCTGTGCTTCTGTTTTCATGGAACGGGGGTATGTTTGAGCTTTCTGCCCCCCTCCGTAGGGTGACTATGATATAATTTAAATTGACATTTTAAAGATGCTGGTTGAGTGATGGAAAAGGGGGGTTTGGGAACAGCAGGTATTCAGGTCCGCATTGCTCCAAATTCACTCTCAATTTCTGCTTCCTGAACTCAGGCTTGGCCACATCAGAGAAGCAGTCATTTGGCATTTTTATCCAGCTCGTCCCTTTTGGCTCTTCTTTGAAAGGCACCTCCCCTTTTCCTATGCTCATTAAGGTCCCCTGAGAAGTGCAAAATCTATAAAATGCAATCCAAGTGATTTAGCAGAAGTTGCAAATACACAGCCCAGCTCTCTGAATCAGATGAAGCTCGGGCCACTCCAGCCCGCCGGCAGGTACATAAAGGCGGAGGCCAGATGGTTCCAAGCTACCAAATGCCCGTGTCTTCAGCTCCTGAAAACCTAGAATTCAAATCCTATTTTTATTGGGGTCAACCGCTTGCTAAATTACGTCATTTGCCCAGACTTTTGGCCAGAGAGAACTTTTAGCGGGAAAGCTGGGGAGGGTGGGGAAGGGGGACATGAAACTTCAGCTTCCTTCCATTCGTAACAAAATCAAGTATGCTTTCATGGGCACGAGAGGAGAGACAGGTTTACATCAGAACGTGAAGTCATGCGTCAAAGAAAACTATGGCAACGCAGAAGTCCACACAGGCTATCACCGACACATACACACACACACACACACAATGGCCTGATGTTTAAAGGTTTCCACCTTGCTTTTCTGCACAATATATTTGAACGCACTGCGGTGGCTTCATCACACTTATGGAGGTAGTTATATGTAAAAATAAAAATTACCATAAAGTAATATGCTGTATCATAATAATACATACGTGTGCAAAATGCCGACACATGGGTTGACCCTTTAGAGTTGAAAGCTACAGAGAGATTCAACCGGATTCAGTTTTACAAGCCCTTCCGCTGATAAATGGAGACGGATCTGCAGCTGGGTACCCAGTGCGACCCTCCCCCGGAGGAAAGGCGGCTGGGAAGCAGATTCCCTCTGGCTTCCTGCCACCACGTCTCCGGTGCGGGAACCCCCATGAGGGTAGGGTGGGGAGTCATGTGCCCAGGACTCCGCTCGCCGGGGACCGCCATGAAGTCTACCACTAGGGAGTTATTGATTCTTTCTTTTGTCGTGGACTCCGTAGCATCAGGAGGAGTCACACGTGTTATTCGAATGAAACCTGTGTCCTGTGAACTGTTGATAAATTCATATTTTAAAGCTTCTCTTAAAGGTGACGCTTCCCTGTCCTGTTCACACAGCACTTGATCATTATAATGGCTACTTGCAGAGAATCAACGGAGGCTGATGGGTCATTCCAAGGGCTGTATTGTGTATGAACTGATAGAAGGGTTAATGGTTGAGAGACGGTTTTGGGGGGTGAGGGGAGGGGAAGAATTCAGACAGAAGGATTTAACTCCCCAAGGAAACAGACTACATAAGTAGTCTACAAGCTGCACGGCGCTTCCTTCTGGGCACAGTTACGCGAGGAGACAGGTCGTGCATTTCGGAACAGCCAACGCACGCCTGGGACCTTGGCATGACACTGGAAGCCACCAACTAAAGTATTTTAGTGACGTGGGGCTTTACCACGTTCGGTGCTTCTGTTTCACTGTAAGCACCAAAAAAGAACCTACGTTACACTGGAAAAGTCCAGTTTGACCCAATACAACTTCCAAATAGCTGGAAAAGCAGGAGGAAACCTCGCAATGTTTGGAGAATTAGGTCCACCGCTGTAGATGACGGTGACGGAACCTATACTGAGCAGAGGTGTTTTTGCAGCTTTGATGCCAATGAATGAACTCTGAGATGAAAATATTTGGGATTTATCTGGGGGTGGGGGGAATATCCTGTGGCATTGGACTCCGAACATGACTTTCCCCTCAACTAAAACGATACCAGACCACGGACTTGGGTCATTATGCAACCTTTCTGTAAATAATCGTCCATTTTCTACAGGTTCACTCATTGCCTTGAGATGTCTTTTTCCTATGAGGTTGCATGGAGTTTGAGTCTTTGCAATCCCTTTGCTGCTGAGAGTCTTCTTTGTATTCAACAGATATTAGAAACCAAGGTACAATGTTAAGAAATCATTTTGAAATCCGCTGGGCTAGTAACTATACATCCACCTAAAAATGCCTCCTGAAATTGGTTACAAAGTATCTGTAAACATTACTCTGGCATAGTTCATGTATGCATAATTGTTACTTTGATAAATTTTTGGGGGGTACAAGTCAGGATTATACCACACTCGCTGACTGAGCACATTCTGTAAATTGCATGGGCACACGTGTATTTCTGATCAAAAATTCTTTTAAAGTTTTCTCTATAGATATCTTCCCAGGAATAAAAGGCCTGAAGTTCAACCCTCCCTAAATTTGCTCTTTCCTATAACCACTAAAAATTATTTCCCATCGCCTAATTTAGGCATTCTATTTAAAACTACATAAAATAGATTTACATCCTTCCATTAGAAAGAATAACATCCTCAGGCCACACTCTTCATTTGTATCACAAAGAACATTTTGCTTTTAAACAAACTAATTATCTCATCTATTCGAGTAAGATGGCATCGTGGGAGTATCACCAGGAGGAAACCACCTTCCTTAAATCTTTGACTCGCGCCTTCTCCAGGCCCAGTTGCCTACTTCAGCGCTCATGCCCTGGCCGGCCAGGCTGGGCTTTCCTTCCTCTGTCCACTTCAGGTTCAAGGCCTATATTCCTGTTTGCGATGACCGGAGGTTAGAAATCAGACAAGCATCTGTGACACCTAAAAGCCAAATCCTGAAAACAGACACTCCGAGATTTCAGGGGGCGCCCTCCCGACAGCCTCCCCGGGCTCCTGCCAAACCACAGAAACTCACAGTGAAAATGACGGGTGAGAACCACGACACACAAGGGCTGGGGGTTCTTCCTGGCATGTTTGGCATTGATCTCCCTCAAGGCGGACCCCTGAGTTGACATTTTGGGGTGGCTTCTATGTTTCTTTTCCTTTTGTTTTGATGGGGGTGTGGGGAGCTCAAGGGTCAGCTCTGGGCACCACCTGCCCACAGACTGGGAGTAACACGCACCTGTGGCATTGGAAAATGAAAATTGGCAACTGCATGACATTGAAAATGCAAATCACACCGACAGTGTCTAGACTCCCCTATGTGTGCTCAGTTACGGTGAGTGAGACACCACCCTGCCCTAGTCTGTTGCTACAGAGCCATACAGGTGAAAGCAATACTCTGAAGTCAAGATTTTTTGTTGGTTATTTTTTTTTGTTTTTTGTTTTTTTTTTTTTGTCTTTTTGTTTGTTTGTTTGTTTTTGCCCTAGCTTACTTAGCAGCACAGTTTAGTCAACACAAAAACTGTGGTCAAGATGCTTGTCTTTCCCAAGATGTAAACATCAGTCCCAGTGTCATAAACTTGGCTGTAGCGTGCTGAGACAGGAGACCCGAGGCCGAAGGATGTCACACACTAGTCACAGAAGCTTGCAAGCAGCTGGAAGGTTTCTGTAGTTTCTCAGCTTCGTTGGTGGGGGGGTCGGTGCTGGCTCGGAAGTTGAAGGCCGGGCCTGCTCCTCCGTGGGCCGGGCTCAAGGCAGGGTTCTGACGACGGTTACTTTCAACAATACTTGACGTGTTGGAAGCCAGGCTCTCCCGAGTGCTAAAAGAGTAAAAAGGTTTTGTTTTGTTTCGTTTTAAACATAAATAATTACAAATCGAGCCCCAGAGGAAGAGCAAATGATGTAGTTAATGGATTTTCTCTGTTGGCTCGTAACGTCATATATACCACCTCGTCCTGATTATTCACACATGTTCCTCTAACATGCACTCCCAAGCACTCCCGTGACATCTCACAAGAGCAGCGAGCTGAATAAAAGGGTTTTCTACAGCAAAAGCCACTTCCCCTTCCCCTCCCATTCCAGGGAAACTACACCAGACTTGGACATCTACCATATTCACGGCAGACAAACTTATACACGTAGGTAATTTCTTCAGGTCAGGCTGGAAGTGCGTTGGTAGAACTGAGTTGGCATAAAACAACAGTTCAATCCCAAGATTCTGTTTTCATTCTCCATGAGCAGATTTAGCTTTGGTGGGCTCTGGACGCACCACCTGCGACATTTGGTGCGGTAGGAATAACCACTTTTTAAAAACACATCACACTTGGCCCTCCCTGGTGGCGCAGCGGGTTAAAGCACAGCACTGAGAAGCTAAAGCCACTTCCGCATGAGTTCGATCCCCGCCTGCCCCGGAGGTGACCACAGGGCGTGGCAGACCTCTCCTGACCCGCCCGCTGCTCCCCTCAGCAGTGGACTTCGTCAATCTGCCTGTTCTGCTCCCCTCTCTGGGTCTGGTGAATCCTCTCACCGCCCCTGCACCTCTGGCCTGTACCCCAGTTCTGTATGTACAAATGAATAAATCTTTAAAAACAAAACAAAACACATCACACTTTTGTTCCAAATTGCAGCACTTTAGCTAATACACATATTTCAGAGAGGGATTCCTAGTCCCCTCTACACGCCCTTCATTTGTAGAATCTACATTTATGTTTCCCCTATACACACTTTGGATAGAAACATTGTATTGTTAAACCTTATAGAACAGGCGATTTGAAAATGTTGATTTTCACTTTCAACATCTCTCTTAATTTTGCTAACTTAGAAATACTTGATCTATTCCAACAGGTTTAGCTCAAACTCTGTAGGGCAACAGCAGAAGCGAGCTTACCTGGCCTGACTGATGGGAGCTGAATGGGTTTCAGGAACAAGGTCCTTAAAATGGTAATAAGACATCTATCAGCTTGCAGAGATCGAAGCGCCCTCAATGACACTCAAACCATTCACCTTACAGGGGACAGACAGGGGTTGTGAAGTAGTCTCAGAGAGCTGCTCCCTCTGCCTGACAGGAGCTGGCAGGGTGAGTTGTCAACATACCTCTCATGCCCACCCTAAGACCTTAGCAGCCTTCCCCACCTCATCAGTTAGTTACCCGAGCCCCATGGGGCCCTCAGCTGGCTTCTCATCAAGGAGCCAAGCATTACTTGCTTGAAAGGAAGTCTGACTGCTGACTATGAAAAAGCAACCTGATCTTTTTGGACCGCACAGAGCACCTCAGGAGATTGATACGTCCATAGAGATATATACACTCTCACCTGTGGCCAGCTGGGCAAGCCTCAGCTTCACCAGGAAAAGGATGCAGCTAGACTTACCTGACTCAGCCTTCCCCTACGCAAATGTAGCAGGGGCTTGCCCACAGGCCACTTAAGCTCAGAGCCAGGAGGGGAAGGAAGCAAGGCTAGAACCAGGAGACAGCACATCTCAGCACCTGTCCCAGTGTCATTCTGAACCAAGACAGTGACTTCTTACCAAGTGTGCTTTCCTCGTCGCTAAGATGCTGACAGCTAGGAGATTCACCTATTCTCAGAATGACCATGAAGAAGAAACGGGCACCACTGAAGAAACTGTGCACTATAAAAAGCTAGGAAAACATAAATTATCTCTGTTTTAACATGGCCTGTGATGAATTTAGTAGCTCTTGTGGGCTTGTGGGGTGTAGACTGATCTATTACCAAGGACATTTTTTTCTATGGGAAAATGTATTTTCAGGCCCAAAGGACCCACTTTTAAGCCAGCTTTCAAGGTGGAGGCTCGACATTTCTCACGCACCTGCTGTTTGCCAGGTACCGCACAGGAAAGGTCACAACCAGCACGGCCCTGCGTTTCCGCGGTTGCTGCCTGTGCCTGGGTCACTCACCACCTGTGACCACGGCAGCTTGCTAAGCGTTAAGCACCTATGAAGCACCAGTGTCTCCAGAGCATGTATCTCACAACTGCTGTTATAATGAGCACCACGTGGGACCTTGACCCACGGGCTCTGGGCAGGGTGATGAAAACGTGAGCCAGGGTGGAGTGTTAGCAGTGGAAAAACTCCCCAAATGTCTCTTTTTTAAAAAGCGAGCTACTGGAGTACAACTGTCACACGAGAGTTCCAGGCTGGGCACCGGTCTCGGCGAGGGTGATGGATGGAAACTAGACTCAAGTGCAGACAGGCCTCAAGTTAGAACGCCAGACCTGGAATTTGTAGAACGTTATCAGCCACTACTGACATCAGTGAAAACGTTAATGAGTACAGGAAGAAGACCTGGAGCAGGCTGCTGGCGGCCTTTCCGTAGGAAGCTCTCCCCTGGCGCCACCGCAGGCCACGCAGGGGCACGAGGTCCTGGAGGCAGAGATGCCTGGCGCCCTGGGCCCTCCGCACCATACCGTGTCTATCGGCCAGCGTGTGGCCTCACATTTGTTGGGTGGTTTTAACATGGCGTTTCCCTGCACAGCAGAGTCTATTTTTCTCCTTCTCAATACTCCTCAGGGCCCAACGCAAGGGAAGATGGAATTCTGGAAATGTCGCTGAGCTGGGGGGGAGATCACCTTTTGGGGGGCTGTTGGTTGATCTTTGTCCCTCATTGAATTGTTTAACATCTGGGTAAGCAGTCCCAGCTCACTCAAGGTAATTGGGGCACAGGACCGTGGGATTTGGCTAACATAAAGCCTCATGCTGGAGAGGAAAATTCCCTGTAAAAACTCAAATAGGCTCCTCTGTAGACCATCCTCACATCGGAAGGCAGCTCAGTGAGTGTATTGAGGAGTAAAGAAAATACAGTTTAGAAATGCGAAGAGAAAATAAGTCTGTCACCTACTTCTAACCAAAGGCTACCAGAGATGAGTGAGATAAAAGCAGAGATTGTTCCATTGGGTCTATAGCTGCATGAAGGGGATGAGTGGCCAGTGAACTACTGCTACAGAGAAAATTCCACCATACCAATAGTGGGAGTCACACTGGGAAGTGTGAAGGGTGTCTCCTTCGAACAATTGTCACCTTCTACCACAACATTTAAGAATTTAAGTACAGGGTTAAAGAAATGCCAATAAACTTACTTCAAGAAATAATTCCATCCCCAAATCTATATTCTACACCCTGGCTGTAGAGACAGTCAATATACTCCATGGAGATATAGGTCAAGTATGTCACAAACATACTCATGGGTAAAAGTCTTGCAATATTACAGTGGTAGGTTTTGAGTCCCAAGAGGCCCTATCATGACACGAGTGTCCTCTCTGCCACTATCTGGGGCTATGGCATCCTTTGTGGAGGACCAGTGGTTCAGGGGACAATATGAAAGCCTGGAATCCGTGGTGTGAAGGGCAACAAGTAGGCAGAGTCTACATGTAGAAAGGCAGAAGCAAATGAATCCTGCCCTCCTACGTGTTGGCTTTAGGTTTTTAGCAGGATTATAGAGCTTCCGTTATGCTTTGCTGGTGCCCACAGCTAGGACTGCAAGAGGAGGGAAAAAGAGTAAAGGGGGAAATAGAAAGAAAAGGAAATATAAAATAATTGGCCAATAAATTATGACTTGATTTGGGGTAGGAAAATATTCAGCAGAAATTACTTCTTAGAAAAGTGACTGTTGGGTCAATTGTTTTCAGACTGAGTGGCCCCCTGAGGCCTCTTAGGGCCCCTCAGGGATGGGCCAGTCTTACCCACTGTGACCAGGCTGCCATCTCTGGGCTTGGTGTAGACGTCGGACTTGCACACGTGTTAACTTGGAACGGAAGTTAAGTGACCACTGTCATCATCAAGAGCCTGATATCAGACAAACAGATTAACGATTCCCAGTTCTGGTGGTGGGATGCTCCGTCCCCAAATCATCCAAAGATACAGTGAAGTCATCATGAAAAATTCATTTTAGCCATAGTAATAATAATAATAATAATAATAATAGACAAAGTACAAAATCACATCTGGGTACTGGTAAAAAAACAGTAAAAAATGATGAATATTGTAAAAATTAGTTGTCGGGAATCACAACTAATGAGAAATATCAAGTGCTCACAAGTATTTCTGCATCTCAGAGTCACCAATCTGGATTAGAATTTAGAAGAGGAATTAGATCCCAAGTTGCTCTGCGAGGAGAAGGAAGAGTTTAGGAGAGAAGGAAGAGGCATAGACTGTCTCTGGCTTTCTTAACCCTGACCTCTTGAGGGCACTGGACATAACCATCAGGTATCACACCGTGGGCTGTCGATCGTTTGCTGAGTTACTTACTAAGAAGCAACTCATGAGAGTGCCTACGTGGGTTGTATCAGTCCTGCAGTGAGGGAAAGAAAAGGTTTGCTCCAGGCTTTGATGGCACAGAGCCAGGCCACAGCTCCTTCCGCGAGAGGAGCCAGGTTCCATTCTTCATAGACATGAAGGTGGCGAGACAGTGTTTGAGCAGAAGGGAGCAGCAGCATGGGAAGCCTGGACTAAGATGGCAACAAGCGACTGGTTCCACTGAAAAGACTTTGCAATCTGCTATAACATTCTCACTGGAGAGACGCCTGTCCTAGACTCAACTTATGGCCAACCTCTGCCCCACCCTTGACTACTCATTCTACTCAGACACTTACTAGTTTTAAAGGACTTAAAAACCCTCCCCCGGTCGACACTGTGGCACTATAAAAACATGGAAGAAAACTACTGGGCGATGTTGGTCTTGGTTTGACTGGACTGATGCAAGTCTGAGGGGGAGGAGCCCACCCACCAGTCCAGATTGGCGATCTCTACAGCTGCAGAAACATTTTTTTCAATTCCTGAAAAAGAAGTCAGAAACAGGTCGTTAACAAAACAACTCAGGCAACTTTCAACCCACATCCACAGAAGTGAGCCCGTGAAGTCGGAAACCTTTCAAGTGATCTGCGTAAAGCCCCAGGCCCTGGCGTGTGCGTGTGCCCGCTGACGCCTCTCCCTACCGTGGGGAGTTGAATCCACTGTCCACGGTGATGCTGCTGCTGTCCATGCTGTCCAGCCGTGCCGAATGGGTGGCTCTCTGGTTGCTGCTGCTGTCGGTTTCTTTGGGGGCTAGAAGGGTGAGGTTCTTCTCAAATCTCCTCTGCAAGTCTCTCTCCTTCTCCCTCTCCAGGAGCCACTGCATGGTGCCAACATCCTCTCTGTTTTTCTCCTCCTCCGCGTTTTTGTTCCCCCCTTCCTCGGAGTCGTCGTCATCAGAGACGTTGTAATAGTCAAAAGAGGCTTCCTGGGTGGCCCCAGGCTCCTGCTGACGCTGGGAAGCAGGCATGGCCTGTGCCACCGAGGTCCCCAGGGCTGGCTCCAGCTTCTCGCACCGTCCTGGCAGTGTGTCCGCAGGTGTCTTTGGGTGGGCTTTGAGGAGGGACAGGCTGGACTTGTGATAGCTGTTTACAGACAAGGTGCTGTGGAGAGGTTTGAACAGTGTGTCTTTGCTGAATATCTCTTTCCTCTTGTCCAGGCTGCTGGGCTCAGCATTGTGGTGCTGGACAAGGCGGCCATTGGCGATCCCTTCGGCCATGGCGCCCAAAGGGGCTGGGATCCCACCTGGCCCTTTGGGGGACTCCTCCTTGTGCCCTGCAGGCTCCCTGGAGGAATGTGGGGTCTGCCTGTCGCACAGGGGCAGCTTTTTCACCCCTTCCGCCAGGGTCAGAGTGTCCTGGTCCTCTTTACTCTTCCCCAGAGGCGAGGGCGCGGTGAGCACGGTCTCGCTGGAGGTGTTGCACTGGAAATAGTCGTCCGTAGCTGCTTTTGTCGGGCAGGAGCTGAGGTCACCGTAAGACGGCAAGCTCTCGGGCGGCTTGCCTGGCTCCAGAAGGCTACAGGCGCTGGAAGGTTCCTTGCTGCCACCGACGATTTCTGGAATACACACCTCCTTGTAGCTCGTGGCCGAAATGTGAGCCCTTGGGTGCCCGAGCGTCTGTGCAGGCCTTAAAGTGCTGTCGTCGATGTAGGGCTGGCTGGGGGCCTGGTCGTCCTGGCTGCAGCCCTCCGCCAGGTCTTCCGGGGTCCCCAGGGAGGAGGCCCCCAGCGGGCCCTTGGCGTTGTCCATGGACCGGGACCGCTCCTTGGCTTTGTTGGTCCGCTCATTCCTGGACCTCCGGTCCTGGGTATGGCTGTGGCTTCGGTGCACTTTGGAGTGGGAGCTGCCCCGGGAGGGCTCCGGGAAAGGCATCTCAGTTCTCCGCTTGGCCAGCTCTCCGGACACGTCCCATTCCGGAGTCATGGGGAAGTGGGCCTCGATGGCGCTGGGGGTGCTGTGCATGATGAAGTTGTCTCCCTTGTGCTCGATGATGAAGCAGCCCTCGCGGGGCGCCCTGCTCAGCGGGTCGCAGAAGTCGTACTCGCGCTCGGCGGGCAGGTCCCGGTGGGAGCCGTCGGAGGGCACGCCTTTGGACGCGCGCGTCTTGCTGTGCGAGCGCGCCTTGCCGTGCGGCTTGCGGTGCGCCCTGGTCTTCTTGCTGCGCCCGCTGTGGTGCGCGGACGAGCCCGCCTTGCTGCGGTGCGCCTTCTCCTCCTCCAGCTTCTTCATGAGCGCCGTGTGTCGCGTGACGTTCTCCACCGTCAAGTCCGGGTTGATGCGCCGGATGATCTCCATCTCCACCTCGCGCGGGATGGTGGTGGGCGTGTCCTCGTCCCGCAGAGGCCACTCCTCGGGGGGGAACTGGGCGGAGAAGTTGGCGAGCTGTTTGGTCTTGTCCTTCTTAAAACTCAGCCGGAACAACTTGAGCCCGAACTTCTTGGACTGCTTTTCACTGTCTTTAGGCTTGGAAAGGGTTTCCGTCTTGTAGGAGAAGTTGACAGTGCTTTTGCTCTTCTCCGTGGCGGGCGCCTGGCCGAGCGACGGCGGGCAGTAGTAGGGGTCCTTGCAATCCTTGGCGGGCTTTCGCTGCAGGGTGGACGCGTGCGCGCTGTGCAGGTCTTCGCGACAGCAGTGGCAGGAGTCGCAGTGGTTCCTGGGCAAAGTCCTCTCCCTGATGCAGCCTGAGGCGGACGGCGTGATGGTCCCGGGCTGCGGGGAGGCGCACTGAGACCGCTCGGGCACCCGCTCGTCCAGGTGGTACCACTTGCTGTTAGTTCTTATGAGGGAAGGCGTGATGAAGTAGGTCTGCGGAGTCACGATGAAGTAGCCGTCGGGAGTGGGGTAGATCTTGCGCTCGCGGACCAGCGTGTTCAGCGTGTGCCGCAGAATTTCTTGGCTGGGGGTGGGAACACCTGAAAGCGAGGGAGAAACGTCAGGCGCGTGAGGGCGAGCTGCCCCGTCCCGCTGCTTCTCACGCGGCCATGGATGCGTGTCCCCACCGCCCCCCACGGCCCCCCACGGCCCCCCAAGACGCCCGGCTCCAAGCCTTGCTCCCGTGGGGATGGGTTCCATGCAGTCGTTGAGAGTCGACCTCTCCAGAAGGGGCTTCTTCAAAAGAGGGGGAGACCTGAGCCCTCTCTCTCCACCCTGGGGGGATACCAAGGTCTGCAGGTCAGAGAGGGCCCTGGCCAGACACCAGGTGGGCAGGGCCTTCATCTGGGGCTTCCCAGCCTCCAGGACTGAGGGCCATAAACATGGGTTACTTAAGCCCCCCCAGTCTGTGAGGTTTTGGACAAGCAGTTGACAAAAACAAAATCCTGTTAATTCTGCCAAGCTTCAAAGCATTACCACATGGCAAGTAAACAGGACTTAGAGGGGTTTGTGTGGTCAGGAGCCTGCCCAGCTCCAGGAGCACTTTGAGGGCTATTTTTACCTATAAAAGGGGGAAATATAAAAGCTGGCAAGAAGGAGGTGGAAGTTGGATGGCTGCTATGTGACAAAATCTTTACTGAGCTAGATCATGAAGGACAGGACCTTTTTAAGACACAGGAAGCGAGGGGTGTTTCAGATGATGGGATGTGCATTGACAGGAAAGAAAACAAGCAGACAAACCGGAAATAGGCCAAGCAGCTATCTTGCTCTTGAAAACCAAACCTGCCTCCCACGGAAGCAGGGTCCCCATGGAGCTACTCTGCACACTCATTTTTAAAGATTAGTTTATTGGTTACACTTAATTTTATTAGCTCTATAAAAGGGCAGCCAGACTTAGTCACTATTTATGATACAGCCTCCAATTTTGAAATGTCACCTTTAATCTTGAAAGACCACAGCACTGGTGAGATTCAAGTGAGGACTTGCTCCCTTGGGGGCTGAAGTCAGCAGAAGGAGGTGGTTTTACTAATCTGTAACCAGAGGTGTCCAGCACAGCTGTACACGTCTGCTCATCGCGTCCAGAATTGCCCATATTCGCCAGAACAGAAATTCTGTAAGGAAACCAGCGATACTGTGTATGGTGTCTGCTAGTGTTTTCAAGGGGCTTTGTGTGTGTGTGTTTGTGCTTTTCACCTTGAGAGACAGAATTAAGATGACCGCGGAAGACCTGAGGAACAGAATGTCTCCTCCAGGCTGAAGAGGCCTGGCCGTGAGGGTAGTTATGCTTTTAAGACGGGTCAGAGTGACCTCATTTGGAAACAGACCGAGCTGCCTCACGTTGTGAATATTCAATTGTGTCTGACACACAAAAACCGGCAGTTTCAGTGAACAGCAAAAACTTGGGCTTCTGGGCCAGACTTCGGGATTCAAATCCAAGCTCTATTGCTGCAGCCAATGCTACTTGGTTGAATTAGGCATCACCCCTACCCCCTAACAGCCCCAGTTCCTATCTCGAAGCCCTAACCTCCAATACCTCAGAATGTGACATTATTGGAGACAGGGTCTTCACAGAGATAACCAGGGTCAGAGGGTTCCCTAACCCAGCGTGATGGTGTCCCTCTGGGGAAACCTGGGCCTAGAGGCACATGGAGATGGCGTGAACATAGCATCTACCAGCGGAGAGGTCTGAGCTTCCTCCCTTACGGCTCTCACGACCAGCCAACCCTGCTGACTCCTAGACCTTGGACACCTGGCCTCCAGAGCTGCAAGACCACAAATTTCTGTTGCTGAGACTGACCACCCCCCCTTCATTAGGGCTCCCCGAGAAAGCGGCACAGCAGCTTACCTCTCTGGGTGTCTCTTGTTGTCAAAACTTGGGTAATAATACCCAAGGGCTGTGTGTGTTTAAGTGAGTGTAACGTGTAACAGTGCCTAAAGTATAGTGAGCGCTCAGTTAGTTTTAGCCATCAGTGGTCCCAACTCTGGGTCAGGAGCCCGCAAACTCAGATTAACCCCGAGGAGCACTGTGCAGCGACCCAGCGGTCTGAGCGTGGAAACGAGCTCCTCCCCCATTCTTCTCAAACTACTCAGGTCGGACAAGGAGGTATGAGCAGTGCCCGGAATGCTTATGGCAGAGGGTTTATGACCATGAGGCAAGATGCTACCCCACTATGATGCCAGCTTCAGAAGGTATCCATTGTCCCCAAAGCGGGAGAGAGATGTTGTTTGCAGAAAATGGGTGATGTGACAGACACTCATCTCTCCATCATGTGGTTGGTTGCCTTTCGTCTAGTGCACACTAGTTTTCTAAGCAAATGACCTCCAGGTGGGTATCATGGCCAAAAAAATGTCTCTTTTTAACTTTATGATCACTTCTGCATACAATTTGAGGAGTTTCTGCACAAAATTAGAAATGAACAGCAACTGAGCTAATCATATAACTGCAAGCATCCATCTTCCATTCACAGGCACCATCATGAAACAAAGATGCATGTAACTGAAAGAGCTTTCACACTTCCACGCCCAGCTTGCAATGGACTTCCTGCTGGACAGCTGTCGGGCAGGAGCCACGACAGTTTTAATCTGTTTTTTTTTCAAACATACAAACATGTGTTCTCTCTTCCCACAGTTGTAAGGTGGCAAGATTAAAGCCATCATGTGTCCACTAATGTCACACTGTCACACAGTGCTTGAGTGATCTGGTTTTGTTCTGGAAGGCCTGGATGGAGGAAAAGACAGAAGACAAGTTCCAACGGGACACCGTTCACACCGTGGTCGTGAAGGGGACCCCTCAGAGCGAGGTGGAGAAAGAGCCAAACAACGGCCCTATCTGAAGACCAACTGTTTCTGATACGGCCCCCTTTCGGGGGGTCATTTTAGAAACACAGTGAGGCTTATTTACAAAAACTCATGTCTGAGCAGTCCGTGGTGCTGTGATAATACAAGGCAGCTGGGTTGACTCACAGACGTAGCCATCACTCTACAACAGAATGTAAGTGTTCTAGAATTTGCTGAGTGCAGGCCTTCCTGATGCAACCTCCCCTGACCCACCAGACTACAGACTGGTGACTCTGATGGCGTCATGTTTGCTGGCAGAGATTAGGCTCTCTGGCCCCAAGTGAAGGAATAAGGCTTCCACGGAGAACTTACAGCTAGTAGCTCTATGTTTTGAATGTTCAAGGATAGCCATCCAATAATACATCTGATTTGGGGGGTGGGGGGTGGAACTAGAAGTATCCCCAGTCAATTTTCCATTCTTCTCTCTGTGAGGTTTCAAAGCTTTAACTGAAATAACTGCCATTTGTCATTGTTCGTTTGTCATTACAGCTGATGACTGGTATTTTCCGTTGTCTCTGACAGCCGGTTCCACCAGGCTCTGTCAAGCCAACCTGGAAAGGAGATGGTGTGATGGGTATTTTGAGCATTTGCACATTGCACATCCAGATTCTACTCCCAAAGTTCATCATAAATTTGGAGTTTCAGGTCTTCCAAAACAAAGGTGAGCTTGACATCCAGGTAGGGGAGACTTGCTGGCCTCTCTCTTTTCCTCCATTTATGCCTTCCAGAAAAAAGTAGATCTTTCAGCACTGTGTGACAGTGTAACAATAGTGGACACATGATGGCATTAATCCTGGCACCTTATTACAACTGTGGGAACAGAGCACATGTTCTGTGTGTTGAAAAAACAGACTAAAAACTAGTAATGAGCTCCTTTCAATTACTGCTTCTTGTTTGTGAAGAACACTGGCTCCAGGAGAATCCTGTGAAAACTAATGTAAGTGGAGAAGCTGGAGACAGAACACATTGTAGCTGGTGTTAACATCTCTAGCAAACTCTACAGTCAACTTCAACTCCATCAGCAGCCTTATAGGTCTAGCTCTGACCTGAAGAATCTGCCTTCCTTCCAGAAAGATCCACCA